TTTGAACTAGGCTTCCCAAGAGTATGAAGCAGACTCCTCGTCCCAATAAAACCTCTTTTATTTAAAGGGAATTCCTCTCTAGCAAAGTCCCGGCAAACAGTCTTTCATGAGACTTCACAACTACAGGCCTTTATCAGTCTTGGACTGCACTAATGAGGTCCACAAATTGTTTATCTTCTTGCATGAAACAAAGTGTTGTGGCCCACCAGCACCCAGTGGAGCTGGAAGCAGATTCGGACAGTAAGAAGGTTGGGGAGGAACATGGGCCAGCCCTGGAGTCTGGGGAAGGCTCTGATGAGGGCTCTGTGTCGGAGGCAGAGAGGGAGCTAAGGCTGTCTGGCAGTTCTCAGTTGCCTTCGGAGCTAGACAGCAGTGAGGCAGAGGAACAGGTGGAGCCTGTTCCCCGTGTGTGAGCTGCCAGAAGAAAAGAACAGCTAAGAAGTCAGGTATCAACTTGGGAGTAAGGCCACAGGTGGACGGTGAATGGCCCCTCCCAGAGGACATAAAAGAGGAGGGAAAGGGGAGGGGTCTTTTGCAGGAGACAATTGGTTCCTTCTTCGTTCATTTGCTTCAGGAGTATGAAGATCTGTCCCTGAACCTCAGAGACTCTGTGCCCAGAGTCTTTCCTTGCATTTGGACAATATTTACATGGCAGCTTTCCAAGATAGATAAGGTCTGTGGTCATAAATACTCCTTTGAAAGTCTGTTTACCAAGCCTTGGCTGAAAGTGAAGGAGAGGAATTCCCGTTCGTTTCATAAAAGGGGTTTTGTCGGGACCAGGAATCTCCCTCCTGCTTTTTTGGGGGGAGCCTACAGTCCCGCTTACCTGCTCCAAAATGCCGGCTGCTTTCTCCTTATCCTCCAGCTGCTTTCTCAAGTTCACGTTCTCCTCTTCCAGCTCCCCGAGACTTTGGAGAACCCCTTGCAGGCTGGCGTGATCTGCGGCCTGCTGGCGTGTTTGAGCCTCCAGGAGGGCCAGCTGGCGTCCCTGCTCAGCCAGCGCCTCCTCTTGCGCCTGAGTTTTAGCCGCCAGCCGCCAGCCGTCCTTCTCCGCTTGCCGCCGGCCGCTCTCGGCCCGGCTCAACGCCTCTTCCAAAGCCCCTTTCTCGACCTCCAGCCGAGCCAAGGTGACCCTGAGCTCTTCCACGCTCCGTTGCAGGTTCTGTAGCTCCTGTTGAGCTTTGGCCAAATCTTCGTCCTTTCGTCGGAGCGTCTGGTCTAACTGGGCGCCCCGAAGACGCTCCTTCTGAAGGCTTTGCTGCGCCTGGTTTAAGTCGACCTCAGCGCGGGTGGCTGCTTCTTGCAAAACCCGCGATCCGGCATTTAACGTCTCCTTCTCCCGCTCTAACGCCTGGATCTCTTCAACTAGGTGCCCGGCCTCCGCGTGCCACCGCTCACATTCCTTCTGGGCTTCGGCGTACGCGCCTTGGATGCCACTCAGCGTCTCCTCAAAGCTCGCGGCGCGTCTTGATTCAGCCTCCCGCGCCTGCTCGGCCTCCCGCAGTCGAGCCTGAGCACTGGACAAGGCAGCCTTCATTTCAGTTAGCGAAGTCTCCGATTCCTGTTTCGGGGCCTGGCCTTCCTCCCTTTCGGTCTTTCGGTGCGGCGAAATCCCTGTTTTGTGTGCTTGATCATCGAAGTTCTCTTCTTCTGCCTGGCCGGGCCGCCGTTCTGGCTAAGTGAGACAGAAATGAGAGTTGGAATTGCTGCTGAATGCGTTGCCCCAAAAGATATGCCTTTCCTCCACCACCACCCCAAAAAAAGAGGGTAGATTTGCAAAGGGAAGCTGGATTGGTCATTTGCATCCTTTTAGAGAGTCATTTGAGGCCACTCGGAGGTTTGTCTTGTATCCTCAGGGTCTCCTGAGCTTTCTCCACACTCATTTGCACTACTCCGGTCAGGGGTGGGCTTCCAAAATTGCAGCAACGGGTTCGCTGCGCTGCTGCTGGATGGGCGTGGCAGTGGTGGGCGTGGCCTAGTCAGCCTCCTGCACCACGATGTGGGGGGGAAGGCATTTTTCACCCTCCCCAGGCTCCGGAGGGTTTCCTCGACACTCCGGGAGGGCGAAAACCGCTTCCCCTGAGCTCCAGAGCCCCGTATCTGGACTTCTGGAACTTCCAGGAGGCCCGTTTCCCCCCCTCCCCGAGACTCCGCGATTGCCCTGCACATACCTGGCATGATAAAGGGGCTATAATGAGGCTCCTGGGAGCGGCAGGGTGGTTTGGGATTGGTGGGGTGGCCAGCCAAGGGTGGCCTTTGGGGGTTCACCGAACTGGGCAGATTCCCAAACCCGTGCGAAAGAGATAAACCTCCAAGTGGCCTCAACGACCCTCTCAAAAGGATGCAAATGACCAGCTGTCTGCAAGGAGCATAAATCCTTTCTTTCCCCACCACCTAGTCAGAGCTGAAGAAGCCTCTTGGGATGAAAAGCGAAACGTCTTTAAAAGAAATTCCAGTGGCCTCCTGAAAAAGCACCGTTGGGACCCCTTTCTTCTCCCTGTGTTTGCCTTCCGGAGAACCAGGGAGAGTCAAAATCCAAAATGTAGATTGTAATCTCAAACTACATTTCTACTCTGGGCTCAGATTTCTCTTATCTGCCGGCTGTTTTGATTGCAGCTCTTCCTCCTGTCCCTCAAGGTGATTCTCACCATCCATTGCGCCCATTCCCTAATGATAGGACCGGGTCCAACAGCTCCCTCTCTCTTCCATACCAGCCCATCAAGGTTGGCGTCCTTCAGCTCTGCTTCCATCTTCTTTGATCCCAACGCAAGCTGCATCCTACGCCGTTCCCGGTTCTCTTTTTCCACAGCTAGCAATCGATCGGACTCCTTCATCTCACAGTGCAGCAAAAGGGGAACTTCGGGGAAGTCTGCAACCAGGAGGGAGAAAAAAATATACCGTATTTTTCAGAGTATAAGATGCACACTCCCCCCTAAAAGAGGGTGAAAATTTGGGGGCATCTTATATACCAAATGTAACCCCGCCCACCCACCGGCCCCCACCCTTTGGCCTCTGCCTCCCAGCAATTTGCCTCCTCGCAGCAAACAGCAAACAGCCTGTTTCAGTTTGATTAGCACAAGCAGCTGATTGTTGGTCGGATCAGCCTCCCGACCATCAGCTGTTTCAGGCTGCAGGGATTGCCATTGCCTATTGCGTGCCCCATTTTTGGCCTCCGCGTGCCACATTTTCCATACATTCCAAATCCCTGCTACCTGGAACGAGTGGAAAATGGGGCACGGAGAGGCTGAAAATGAGGGGTGCAGAAGCGGCAATAGGCTATGACAATCCCTGCAGCCTGAAACAGCTGATCATCAGGAGGCCGAGCATACCGACAATCAGCTGCTTGTGGTCATCAAGCTGAGCTGAAATTGAAACTGAAACACGCTGTTTACTTCAAGGAGGCAAATTGCTAGGAGGCAAAGGCAGATATTTTTTTTCTTGTCTTCTTCTCCAAAAGCTAGGTGCGTCTTATACTTCGGAGCGTCTTATACGCCAAAAAAACGCGGTATATATAATTTTTTGCTTGCAAATGTGTAGGGAAGGAAGGCCGGGTGATCTGGGAGAACTGAATATCGGGACAGGTAAAACTCACCATTTGCATCCAGGTGAGAATACTCAGACCACGATTCTCTCGGTGCATTCTTCAAAGTTTCTCCCAGCTGCTTTTTCAGGAGGAAATTCTCCCTCGAAAGCTCCTCCGATTGGCAAGAAAGCTGCTCCCATTCCTGAGGAATTGAAATTTTAAACACGACGTTGAGTCTATCGTTCCCCATTTGGACCCAGGAGTCCTCATCGCAAACGATTTAAGCCCCAGAGCTCACCATAACAGCATTGCCAAAAAGGCATTAAGAGTTGTTAACCTAATCTTGCGAAGCTTCTAACCTTGTACTGCTAACTAAGGCATACAAAGCCTTTGCCAGACCAATCCTCGAATACAGCTCGTCTGCCTGGAAATCCACATTGTATATTGGATATTAATACGATTGAGAGGGTCCAGGGGTATTTCACGAGAAGAGTATTCTGTCAACTCCTGAGAGAAGAGGGGGGAGTGCATTCCACGCATTCTGTCGGCTAAAGTCGGATCTCAGATCACCGCAGCAGGCTTGGGAGGGGTGCACCTCATTGGGGAATGTGATTTATGACACAGACTGAGGGGAGGGGGAGGAACAGGGGTAAAGTTCAGCGATAACTCAAACAAAGCTTAGATCCAACTGCAAAAAGATCTTGCCAAAAATAAATGCTCCTAATAAGTGACTAATTTTGAAGTTTGCTCCAAGGCTCGTGAATCAACTAGGGCATTTTTGGAAAACCTGACATATTCAATCCTCTGCTCACAACAGAATCCCTTATGCCACCAGGTTTGAAATTTTGGGCTTGGACAACCTGGAACTACGCCACCTACAGTCTGACCTAAGCGTAGCACACAAAATTGTGTGCTACAACATTGTGTGTCAACAGCTACTTCAGCTTCAACCTCAATAATACGGAGGCAAACAATAAGATTCTTTCTCAACCGCACCTCTTGGATCTGGTTCAAGTGGTTCTGCAGGCGCAGGTTTTCTTTCTCTGCTAGACTCAGGCGCTGGTCTCGGGCGTGAACGGCGTCTAGTTCTTCCTCCATCATGGCTTTTGACTCCAACAAAGCCTTGGTGAAGTCACGCTCCTCCTGAGAATCAAGAGGACCTATTTAAGCCCAGGGGTGGGATTGAAAAATGTTAGCAACCTGTTCTCTGCCCGGTTGTGGAGTGGGTGTGGGCCATGGTGGGCGTGGCCTACTCAGCCTCTTGAACCTGAGCCTCCCGGAGGGCGAAAACGGCCCCCTTCGGCTTTGATCTCCGTTTCAAAACCGAAGAGCCAGCGCTGTCCAAAGATGTCTCCGTGGTCATGTGGCCGGCATGACTCAACACCAAAGGCACACGGAACGTCGTTCCCTTCCCACCAAAGGTGGCTCCTATTTTTCTACTTGCATTTTTTAC